CAGCCAGCACATCCTCACATCTGCTGATGGTCCGGGGAAGTCTGTTCAGCTGTCACCTGCTGAATCATCCCCCGCGACTTCTACATCATCGCTTGCAGCATCGCCGCCGTCAGGTTCCGCAGCCGTCCCGCCTCCGTGCCTTCATCCACGCCTGATCCAGCCTCCGTGCCTTCATCCACGGCTGGTCCAGCCTCCGTGACGCCGCCTTTGTCTGGTCCAGCTTCAGCTCCGCCTTCGTCTTCGTCTGGTCCAGCTCCGCCTTAGTCTGGTCCTGCCTCGTCTGGTCTTGCCTCGTCTGGTCCTGCGGTTGCCACACCGCCGTCAGAGCCAGCTCGACCTGTTCCGCCTCGCATCTGCCGGCCGTTTTCCAGGCCTCTAAGTTGGCATCATGGCCTTCGGGGACGGCCTCCGGAAAGAGTTTGTCGCCGCCGCTGGCATCGCGGCCGACCTCCGGACCTGCTCAGTGGCCGCCACTGCCTTCCAAGTGGTCGGCCTCCTGATTGGTTTTGCCTGCGCCACCGCCGTTGCCGTGTGCACGGTCGGCCTCCTGAACTGTTTGCCCGTCGTTGCCATTGCCATGTGCACAGTTGGTCCCCTGAACTTTTCATGGACTCTTGTTGAGCTCTAGTTTCATTTTTGATTTTCCTGCATTTTTGGACTCTTGTGCTCCTTGTTTTTTGTTTGGTACTTTTTTTGGACGAATAGGAAAGGAAGAGGGAGGTGGGGGTTGTTTTTGCTCACAGGCGGAGGGTGCTTTCGAGCCTTTGTTCTTATAAAACGCAGTTTTTACCCTTTCTTTCATCAGTACATATAAACAACGATAGTATTCAGGAAGTAAGTAAGTAAAACTTTATTTATATAGCACCTTTCAAGATAAAAATCACAAAGTGCTTCACAGAAGCTAAAACCTAAAAATAAAAATCAACAAAAAGCAAGTTTGAAGAAAACCAAACATTGCAGATTTTTTTTTTTTTTAATCACAACTCTGGTTTTAGTGACCTATCAACACGATTTAAAAACTGGTATAAAGTCGACTTTACTAACCCAAAATTGTTCCGTCTGTCCTGCTCACATCTCAAATGGTTGTACACGTTGTCATTAGCGTGGCTTCACTCCACATCAGCCACGTCGCTTTGCCAGCTAAAACACCGGTGTCGGCACATAAGGACGCTGTCATAGCCTGTCAATGACGTTGATTGGCTGCGTATATACGCATTATTGGCTGAACTATGGGATAAGGTGGCATCGTTCTAATCCCAAATGGTAGCAGCCAGTCACTCACTGACTAACACTGCAAAACAGGATTGTTGAAGTATTAATTTTAATTTCAATTCAGGTTAGATTTTTTTTGTGCGCAACGCAGATTTTCTGTGTGCAGAGACCGTGCCAGCAGTGCGCAATTGCGCACGTGCGCAGCTTAGAGGGAACACTGCCCACCATCAGTCATTAATTTTGATGACCAAGACCTATGATTGAAATTTTGCCTTGAAGGTCTTATTTGTCAATTTTATATGTACAGTTCTGTTCTTCAATTCTTCAGTCAACAAGTTGTGAAAGCAGATTCATAGGGGCTTTGGTAGGTGAGAAGGGAATGCCTCAAAGGGAGAAAATGACCATGAAAATGACCCAGCACTGACTGACTGCCTGAAACAGTCAGGTAGTGTTGAAAGAGAGCCAAAGTCATCAAGTATGGAGCTGCTTAGATTGCTCTAGTTTCACTAACTCAAATCGATATCTCATTCAACATTTCTTTCAGCTATTATTGTGAAAAACAGAAGTGCATTCTTAATGTTTATATTCTATATTCTTTCTGCACCATTTACTATTTTCATTCATTTCCTTTTTAATGTTCTGAAACTGTCCATCCCTGCCCAGCTGCGCTCCTCAGGTATCCAGTCCATTTTTCTATCCTCAAGGATAGAAAATCAACGCAATCCTACAAGGATAGTTTATGTGGTAGGCCTGTGGTAGCCTACAGGAGGAAAAGGATTTTGACGTTGCCAACGCAATCAAACAATATCACGTAGTATGTGGAATGCAGCTTTTTAAATCTTAAATTGTTTTCAAATTTCAAAACTGCTTCTTAAGATTTTGTGATTTTATATAGACCTCTTAATTTAGTGATGATAATGGTAAATAAATGGTAAATGGCCTGTATTTTATATAGCGCTTTACTAGTCCCTAAGGACCCCAAAGTGCTTTACACAACCAGTCATCCACCCATTCACACACTGGTGATGGCAAGCTACATTGTAACCACAGCCACCCTGGGGCGCACTGACAGAGATGATAATCTTTATATCTATATATTTTTCTTGCCCTTCCACATTGATGAGGATTGCTGTAAAGAGGACAGCTGTTAACAACAGGCCAAGTTATCTATAGCAACATTTACTTGATCTCTTATTGCAAAACCAAAACACATCTACACCCATCTTACAGTGGCCAAACAGGTGTTCTTAAAATGTTCACAGTAGCATTACATAACTGCTTTGCCACTGTCCCTGTTATGAAAAAAATATACAAATTTCTAACAGGGCTTTCAGTTTTTTTGTAAATATTTAAATATTTAATTTTTTTTAAAAAAGAAAAGAAAAGAAGCACACAGTAAAATGCTTGGGGTCTTTTAATAGTGGTCTTTTTAACTGACCACATTTGCTTGAGAAATGTTATTATAATCAGTGGGGTGTGTGTGTGTGTGTGTGTGTGTGTGTGTGTGTGTGTGTGTGTGTGTGTGTGTGTGTGTGTGTGTGTGTGTGTG